TCAATCGGCTACCAATAGGGTAGCCTATTGATAGCCGATTGATAACCTATTGATAACCTATTGATACCCTATTTAACTAATTTCGACCTGTGTATGTGATTGATTTCTAATCAGCTAAAAAAACAATTAGCTTGTTATCTAATAATCCAATTTACATAAACTTTTTTTTGTTTTATAGCCCCATTTATGCTTTATAAAATAAAAAAAATTCATTGAAATTAGACTGCTAAATGGTGAAATAATTGCAAAAAGCTTATTAATAAATAAATTACCATATATTATATATATTATAATACAATTATTTCACTATCCAATAATCCAATTTGCATAAACTTTTTTTTTGTTTTATAAACCTCTTTATGCTTTACAAAACAAAAAAAAATTCATTAAAATTGAACAACTAGATAGTAAGTTAATTGCAAAAAAGCTTCTTAATAAATAAATTACTATATACAGTCTGGGATATTTTCAAAATTGGATTGTGTAATGAATCACGTTCTGGAATGATTCTAGAATGATCAGCAATTACACCAACATTTTAATTGGTTAATCCCTGTCATATTAACGTGATTTGGTGAAAGAATTTCTCACGATATATTCTTTGAAACTGCAAAACGTAATTATAAAAATACGTCATAAAAGGTATGTATTTTCATAATCAGTGAATATTTTTTCATAATCAACTCTCTTTCAAAAAGGTATGAAGACCATAAAATGACTATAAAATGACATAATTTCATTTTAAATGCTTTTTTTTTTGAGTTTCATTGTCATTTTTTTTTATTTTTAATTTAACTTTTTTCTTAATTTTATTGTAGTGATAATGTGCGAAAAATCATATGCTAAAGAGCTGCCTTTTTCGCAAATTTAGTAATCACATATGAGCGAAAAGGTTTGAGAAAATGTGAGACAAACCATTACAAGTATGGCGACATGTCTTCTTCTTTATCATACTTTTATCCTGAATCAATTACAGAATGTCAAAGATTTTGGGTTTATTTAAGAAAACTTAATTTTCTTAATCCAATGGAGACAAAAACAGATTTTAAAAGTCTAGGTGGAGAGAGTAAATTAAGGAAAATTTTAGTATTAATTTAGCAAAAAAGGCACGACAAGAATATATTATTGAAGTGTTTTACAAAAAAAAGTTCAGTTCTTTCATTTCTACTTATTCCAATAACTCAACAAGAAGCAATCATGGTGTAGGCGGATGAATTCAACATAATACGAATAGATATTTTGCATAAAGTAGAATCTCTTTTAGAACAAATGAGTGAAAGTATTCGCAAGCAGTGCAATGGAATAGGATCTAAAAAGAAAAGTGAATTGCTAGCCATATTACAAGAGGTACGAAATTTGCAGAGTATAGATAGTGAATTAGATGATATAGATGTAGTTTAGGCGAAAAAAATATATTTTTCAAATACAGAAATAAATTAGAAAAAATAATAAAATTATCTAAGTTTTATCATTTCGAACGATCAATGTAGTGATGTCAGTCATAGAATATTCTGATCAACATTCTTTGATCAGCATATACAAAAATGGTAAGATCACTACCAATCAAAATGCTTAAAAATGATTCCATTTATGGTAAAATCCCAGACTGTAATATATATATATTATAATACAATTATTTTACTATCCAATAATTCAATTTGCATAAACTTTTTTTTATTTTGTAGTTCTTTTTATACTTTATAAAACAAAAAAAAATTCATTGAAATTGGACTTTTAGATAGTGAGATAATCGCAAAAAAAGCTTCTTAATAAACAAATTATATATTATTTATTATAAAAGATATACTATTACATAAAAGGTATATTGTGATACCTGATTGCAGGACCTGACCCTTTACCTACCCATTAAATCATGCATGCCCTAATACGAAGGATGATTTAAGGAGTGTTAGTGTACTGATAATCTTCTTTATTTTAGTTTTTTATTTTTACTTTAATTACTCTTTAGGAGATTTAATATATAACTTTATTTTTGGTTAGTTTATTTTTTTATTATTTCTTTTATTGTATTTTGTTTAATTGTAAATATTTCTAATAAATTAATAAAGATAAAGGTGCTATACCATATTTGCTGAAAAGTCAACCTCTGAGTTATATATGTAATATCTGAAGTTCTGACATTGCCAAACATCTCTATTAATAACTGGGCTTTATCTATAGTTTTTGACAGATTTTTTTTAAATAAGTTTTTGAGAAAACCATTCTCTATAATAGAACCTAAGTGTTATGTAATATTTTCAAAAAAAGTAATACTAAAGTCAGAAATAAACTCTACAGCTTGTTCATTATGTATTTTACTCTTATCCATGTTTAACATTTTTATTTATATGTAATAAAATTTAATAAAGTGCCAGATTAATAGCGCAGTAATTTCAAAAAAGATTTAAGTTAAAGATTTTTTTTTTAATGTAAAGCTTTCAAATTTACATATTAGATGTATTTTCATCTGTTTTACAAAATTCACTTATAAATGGAAGGAGGTTTTGGAAGTAGATTTTGACTTTAGTATATAACAACCAATTTTATCATCTTTGCCAATCATTTCCAAAATTGGATTTGTCAAAAGAACAGTTTTTGTTAAATAACTCAAAAATGGCTTTTTAAACCACCTGTATATGCTCTAAGTAAATTTGCAGAGCAGACAAAAATACACCTAATGTAGGAATTTAAAGGTTTTATTTTAAATAAAAAAAATTGCAATTTGGAAAAAATCGCTGCGCCACACTGCGCCATCAACCTGGCACACACATTTCAGACATGGGGTGTGATGCCGATGATGAATATTATTAGGTCACGTGGGGTGAAAAATTTGGTGTTACTGGGAAAGATTCGACCCCCCCTTTTTTTGAAGCCTGTATTTAACAAATAGAAAATGCATAATTATAATATAAAATTATTCTTTTTGTGTTTTGTGTAATAAAGATAATAATATTTATTGTCAATAAAGTACACATATTTTATCCTAGATTACCATTGATAAATCTATATCTTTAATAATAAATGTTAATTAATCTATACCATTTTTAGAAAATGGTCTATTTTCCAACGGAATATACCAATTTCTATTTTTACTAAGAACCTGATCGGAATTAAGTTATCAATAACTAGCCAAGGCCAGTATTTAATTTAAATTTATACTCCTGATTACAAAAAGGGTACTTGTACAAATATCTTATGTCACATTTGTCGAACCGGCGTTAAAAAGGCGTTCATAACTATAACAATTGCTGCGCTTACATAAATATTTATAAGCTCTGTTGGTATTCTTGTAGAGCAGAACTTTACGTTATTTAGTATCCAGCTCGAGACTTTATTTATTATTTAACAAACTTTTATAGAATACGAAATATGAAGATCAGCGGGGCTCTTTTGTTGGTTACTGCATTGTTTAGTGTTTCCAGTAATGCGGCTATTCATAAGTATGTCTTTAAAGTTGTCAATATTATTTTTATATAGAGTATTAATATCATTTAACTTAAAAGAATGACGTTGAAGAAAGTTCCTGAGACCCCGTCTCAGAAAATGAGTCGTTATTCACAAACTGGCGAATACTTAACCCAAAAATACTTTGGTAATTCACGTTATATGCAAGAGGCGAACCAAAATTTTCGCCCGGGTGAGGTGGAACATGGCGTACCTTTGTCAAATTATATGAATGCTCAAGTGAGTAGTAATAATAGGAGCGAAAAAATGGATATTATAATTTAATTTTGCGGTTGATACATTAATAGATCAGATTGATCTAATAAAGTTTATCACTTCTTGATAGTAAAAATAAAATCGAATATTAATTAATTTTTTATGTTAGTATTTTGGAGAAGTTTCTCTTGGAAACCCACCACAAACATTCAGCGTTATATTTGACACTGGTTCTTCTAACTTTTGGGTTCCTTCCACTCATTGTACCTCTATTGCATGTTTTCTTCATCGTCGATATGATTCTAACCAATCAAAAACTTTCAAGCCTAACGGTACCGAATTTGCAATTCGATACGGTACTGGTAGTTTAGAAGGCATTATTAGCAATGTAAGTTCCTTTATTATGTGCTATCGAAAAATAATTCAAAAAAAAAAAAAAAATATGTATATATATATTTTGGTTTTGTTTTGAAATTTGTTTATAGGATATTTTAACGGTTGGTGATATTACCGTTAAAAATCAAGATTTCGGTGAATCTGTAAAAGAACCTGGGTTAACCTTTGCTTTTGGCCGATTCGATGGCATTTTTGGACTTGGTATTTATTTAATAACCATATTGTTATTATTATTAGTATATGAACCATTAATTTTTTTTAATATGATAATAAATAGGTTATGATACAATTTCCGTAAAGGGAGTTGTTCCTCCATTTTATCATATGGTTAATCAAAGACTAATTGATGAGCCAATTTTCTCTTTTTGGCTTAGCGATGCTGATAAAGATAATAGTGTGGGGGGAGAACTTGTTTTTGGTGGTGCTGATGAATCACACTTCACAGGAAATATTCACTGGGCTCCAATTCGAAGAAAAGGTTATTGGGAGATAGAACTCGAGAAAGTTGTTTTTGATGGTGAAGATGTTGAAATGGAGGATACAGGTGCTGCAATTGATACTGGCACATCACTCTTGGCCGTACCCACAGTCATTGCTGATTTAATTAATAAACAAATCGGTGCTAAGAAAAACTTTGCTGGTCAATATATCATTGATTGCGAAAAAGTTCCTAGTTTACCCGATTTCAGTTTGCAATTCAATGGCAAATTGTTTACCTTAACTGGTTCAGAATATATCTTAAAAGGTAGTGGTTAGTTAATAAATACTTATTTATACTTATTTTTAATTTCAAATTAACAATTTTATTTATTTAGCACAAAACCAATGTATTTCTGCTTTCATGGGCCTTGATATTCCCGAACCTCTTGGCCCAATTTGGATCAGTAAGTAAACTTATTAATATGATGTTTGTATTTTATTAAGTATTAAAATATTGATTTTTTTTTACTTTAATCTACAGTTGGAGACGCTTTTCTTCGTAAATTTTACACCATTTATGATCTCGGTAATGATCGGGTAATTATTTAGGCTAAATATTTCTATGCTATTCGCTTTAACAAAAATTTGCCCTAATTCCAATTTAATATTATATTACTCAGGTCGGTTTCGCTAATTCCACAAATTAATTCTAGTTTATCTGTTGTATTTTTAAGCAATGCAATCGTTTTTTTTTTGTAATTTGGTAATTTATTAAAGTTATTATTTTTCTTTCACTTATTGTGTAATTTTTTTACATTTATGTCAATAAATATATATATGAGTGAATATGAGGCTAAATAGTTAAAATTTATTTTTCGAGTGAATCTGAAATAAGTGGCGGTGTAAACTTCACTGTATCAATATACACACATTGGCCAATGATTGTATTTTATCCGTATAAAGATTTTATTGAGAGTAATAAAATAGTAACAAACCAAATTGTACGGACACAAACGGCTCTTAAGCAATGCAATCTCTTTTATGAACTTGTATATTTTTTTTACATTTATATCAATAGATATATGAAAATGAATATGCAAATAATTAAAGTTTATACAAATACTGGGCAATTAATGTATATTTTATCTGAAATTACAAAGATTTTTTGAAGATAATTTATTGTAATAAAATAGCAATAAACAAACTGTACGGACACAAAACGGCTCAAGAAAGAAAATTACAACCCGAAAAACTAAACCCAAAATAAAAAGAATTTAACTGAAAAAAAATATCTCTAACAGAAAATAGAATTTAAATGAAAGAAAATAAGGAAAATTCAAATGTTAATACGTTCGAAATTTTATATATATAAAACCAATATATTATGCATTTCTATAATCAATCAAAAAAGAAATATATAATGTAATAAAACAAATATCTTATACAAATATGAATAATAAACAAAGCAATTTCGAATGTTCGAGTTTTATGCGTAGGGATTAACGGCCAAAACTTTGATAACAGGCGGACTTTTTTTGCAATCCGCAGTGATAACAACTTGAAGATGACAAAGCTCTCTAATTATCTGTGAATTAGGAGTATCAGGATCAGATTCTATTTGTAATTGAGGTAATTCATTAATTTTGATAACCGGAGGAGATATTTTGGCGGGTGATTGGTTAAATGTAGTTTCTGAAATTGAATTATAGTCTACTTTTGGAGATTCATGAATCGAAACAGATGGGACGGTGGTTTTAGTTGTTTCTTGATTGATTTCAACACTTTCGTCGCCAATTATGTCATCATCAATATCATCATCATCACCAATGTCAGAGTTGGCATCAAATAACCTATTTTCTTCATCAGAAGGACGACTAGTCACATCCATCAAATAGTGGTAATCATCATGATCATCGGCAAGCAAAGCTTCTTCATCTACATCTAATAAAACATCATCATCTTCTCCAAAACCATCATAATCAGGGATTGGTTCAAGTGAACTGACACCAGGTTTCCAACGTAAAACGAGATCACCAGTTTCATCATTAAAAACAAATTTTTCTAAAGGCAACTGATCCAAATGAACACGTTTTTCGATACCAAAGGCTGGGACTAAAACATCAAAAGCATGATCTTTAACGCCAATAACAATTGCTTCGCGAATGACTGGACCAGATTGCAACGTCAAATTACGAAGAAGAACACATAGGAAGAGATGGCTGCTTTGTTCCTGTGCATTTTTCGCAGCTTCTTTCTTAACATTGCAATGACTAGCCGTCTTTTGAACTGCATCTTTATCCAGATAAAAACGTTTCTCTATAGTTAAATCGAAAAATCTCAATTAGTATACTTAATAAATTTTTTTTTTAAAAAAAAGAAAAAATAAATAATATACGTAATAATTTACTCACCACCGGATAAAGCAGCATCGAGCATACGATGAACAAGAACATCGGCATATCGACGGATAGGAGATGTAAAGTGAGTATAAAGTGGAAAATTTAAAGCATAATGATGATATTTTGCAATATCCAAAGTACCAGTGCAGAAATATTTTGCTCTTTGCATTGGTTTAATGGCGAGAAGATTCAATACCTAAAAAAGTAAAAATAATAATTATTATACATAATTAATAAAATATCAATGAATATAAATTACATGCCTCTCTAGCATCATCATCTTTTATAGAGTTAAGAGATTCTTGCAATGCTCCAGCGGATGTGGCATCAAAATCATCATAATCTAATCTATTAGCATGTTCAACAAAATCATTCTAAATAATAAAAATAAAAATATGAGTATACATAATATATTATTAATATCATTAATTTAGAGAAACATACAAGTCTACGCTCAATAGGAGGAGCATGTCGCCTTAGCAAAGCTTGTTCTGGAAAAGCACTAGAAATTTTTTGTGCAACACTCATGTTTGCAAGTAGCATGAATTCTTCAATGAGGCGATTGGCATCTTTAGGTTTATAAACAGTACATTCAATTGGATCGTCTTGTTCGTCGAGCTCAAAATTAAGCCTGATCGAACCCAAAGACAAAGCACCGCGTTTAAAACGTTGATCGCGAAGACGTTGAGCCAATTCCTGTGAATAAAAAAAGATAATATCAATATTGAAATATTACATTAACCAAGATTGCCATTGTTAATAAGATCTTAACTTACATGAAGTAATTTAATATCAGCCTCAATCTCTTTAGTATTATGGTCATTAAAAATTTTAACCTCGGCATTTAAAGGATTTCCATCAATCACTTCCTGAGCATTTTCATATGATAATTTAGCACATGGTTTAATTATAGTTCTGCCATACCATGTTTCCATAGTTTTGCCTTCGGGTGTCATTTTCCAAATAATGGAACATGCAAGTCTAATATTAAAAGTAAAAAAGAATTAAAGAATTAATAATAATCAAGAAAAAAAATAATGTAAATTTCGAAATTTTAAAAAATTACTTTTCAACTCCAGGACACAAACTACATAATTCTTCACAAAGTAACGGGGGAAGCATTGGGACAGATTTTTGTACCAAATATACTGTAGTAGCTCTTTTGCGAGCATCTCTGTCTAGAGCAGTATTTGGTTTTACGAAATGGCTTACGTCGGCAATATGAACTCCTATCTCGTAATTACCATCAGGTAAACGAGTACAAGAGACAGCATCATCGAGATCCTTGGCTGTAGAAGGGTCAATGGTAAAAATTCTAGTAGAACGTAAATCACGACGTAATTCAAATTCTTTTTCAGGAATAGTCCATGGAATTGGGGGAAGGCATTTTGTTACATTTTCATTGAATTCCTCTGCAGATACATTATTGTCTTTAAGAAGGGCTTCAGTTTCAACATCTATACCACCAATCTCACCAATTTGAGTAACTAAGGTACCAAAAGGATGAAGGGATGTAATAGGCCAACGTTTAATGCATGCCTAATTTGGAATATATGCAAATTTAAGAAATAGGTTTGTGTTAAAATGAAAAAAAAACTTTTAATATGTTCATAATATAATTAATACTTACGACAAATAATTGTTGAGCATACGACTGATGATTTTCAACAAAATCAGGTGGAGCTTGTTCAGTAGGAATAGCGATTAAAGGTACACGTTTATCGGTCTGTAGCATAGTGAATTATAGATTAATTATCTAAACTCTAATTTCTAAGACTAATTCTTCAAAACATACCGGTTTAAACCAAACGATTTTTGGGCGTTCATTTTTTTCATCTTTCTTATCATCTTTTGATTCATCAACTTTTGGTTCAATGCCAGCAGCTCGCTCTTCTGCTTCGCGACGAGCTTTTTCAGCGGCTTCTCTTTCTTTGGTTGCAGTAGAAGAAGGTCTGAGGAGTGCAAGTGTTCTATATATGTTTACGATTGTTATATTGAAATCGGGTTAACAATCATGATATTTTATTTTATGATTTAAATGTTAGAATGCATACCCAGAAAAAAGTTGTCCAGGCATTCGTTCCATAACAGCAACGACATGACCACAGTATTTTGGTCTATGTTCATCTGTAACAATATCATCGTCCTCAAATAGCAACAAACCTTGCCCTTCTACTTCAACATCATCTTTCTTCTTATCAACTTTCTTCTTGTCAATGCCCGCACTTTCTTCCTTTTTTCTTTTCTTTTCTTCTTTTTCTTTTTTTGTTTGCCAGACTTTCTCTGGATCTAATAATTCCACAGCAACTACATCACCTTCAAGAGCTCGGTTCCTGTCTTTGGAACCACAGATATAGATATCAGCGTCAAGTGACTCTGTAGTTACATATGCATCAGACCGGTTGCGTTTATTGATACGCAAAACACCGGATACAAGGTCGCCATTTTTGAGAAGCGGAGGAAGAGAAACTTGAGGAAGATAAGGAGCAAAAAGTGACTTTCTTTGTTGTTGGTTATTTGGATTCTGTTGATTTTGTTGTTTCTTTTGAATAATGCCGAATTTAGGAAGCGGAAATGGTTGAAAAGGTTGAGCTAAGGCAGAAAGGGGTGAGGCAGCTGAGTATTATTGAAGAATAAAGATTGCATTTACATTCATTATTTTCACAAGACACTTTCACTCGCAATGTGTCGAATGAATTATTAATTATCGTTCTAACTTTTTTTATAATGAATCTAATTAAAACACTTGTTTAACACTTACTTGATCGCCAGTTACCGTCAAAGTTTCTAGAATTGCTACGACGATGACCATTTTTAGCATCGGCTCCAGATGGTCTGCCTTGATTCTTCTCAAGTTCCTTCAAAACATCTTTGCTACCATTAAGAGCAACACTGTGTCGTCGAATATGCGTCGGAACATTTGTTTTTATAGTAGTTGCAGAAGTTGATGCAGGAGATAATGTATGGCCAAGCGATTGGTGGCGACGATGAGATTTCTTAGCATTCGTCTGTAATTGTTGCTCTTCATTTTTTTTGAAATCAAAAGGGGATTTCGGAGATTCTAACTCTTGCCTTCTATCACCAGACTGTACCATTTCATCCAAATTAATAGATTTACGGTTGTTCTGGTTCTTTTTACGTCGAGCCTTCTTTTCTTCTTCAGTTTCTATATCTTCATAATCTTCTTTCTTTTTGTCAACCTCCTTTTCCTTCTGAGCTTTGCCCTTGTCTAGACTCATACGTCTCAATGAAGAAATAGTATCTTGTAAAGCATTTTCAATGTCAATAGGTTTGCCATCTTCCGAGTCAGGAATGCCTTTCAATGAACTAGTAACCGCTGAAGAAGTCAAAGGAAAGGAAAATGAAACGGACGCATTCTTCTTATGTTGCTTTGCAGCAGAAGGACGTTTAGAACCAATAATACTTGATTCGCCCCGTCTGTGTTTTGATGTAGGTTCAGTTTGGTTCTCTTCTACGTCCTTTTTTTCTGATTTTTGAGATTTAGGAGGAACGGCTGGCAGATTTTTAAGACTAGCGATAATTTGTTGTAGAGATTCAAGGGCTGATTCAGACTTATTCTCGGAGTCATCTTTACTACTTTTAGATTTTCCAGCATTTTTTGATGAAACACTTGGAAGTTCTCCAACAGCCATAGACGTACCACGACGATGAGATGATTTGTTTTGGTGACTGTTGTTAGAATTTTTATTTTTATTTGGAATATCAATTGTGTTAGCTGTTGACTTTCTACGTTGATGTTGAGATTGCTTGTTGTCCGTTAAGTCTAATGGAGTCTGATCGGTTACATCAGCTCGATTTTTACTCGGTTTTTTTTCTTTTTTCTTCCTTTCATCGCCGTTGTCGTTCCCATTAGTGTCTTCTGTGGCGACGACAGTTTTGTTTACTTTAACTTCTTTACCATCACTTTTAGATGGAACTTTCAAGCTTTGTCTGTTTTGCTTTTTACGAGCCTGTTTTTCAACGGTATCTTCCTGCACTATGTTGTTATCCGATAAAGCGGTGACAGAAGTATTAGATAACGTTTCAGGAACAACGGAGGAAGGCCCTGCAGTAGTCATGTTGTTATTCGTTTCGCTCGACATGGTTGTGTTTAAAGAATAATTATCTTTCTGAAAGTCGGTCGTTAAATTTTTCTTTTTTCAGTTCCAATATATGTGTATATAAGGAGTGTCACAACCAGGTTCAGAAATTAAGGAAAGAACATTTGGTCTTCACGACAAAAAACCACGAAATGGCAACAGCAGTCGTTTACTGCCGAAAAATTGTAGTCTTATGAAAGAGAGTGAAAGCGAATGAAGTAAGTAAAAGTACGATATTACTGCTATATTTTAAACAGAAATCACGTGAATTTAATCATATGATGACATTTAATAAACAAACGAAAAAAGTCCCCTATTATCAGTTCTGAAATTTATTATTGCTTGTTTTAATTTTTAATTTGGAATCTTCTTAAGATCGATTTTTATTATATAATTGAAATAGTTTTCTAACGAATTAACTTTAAAAGTGTTACACAAATGTATTTTATTTAAGGGGCTAGTAGTACTTAATTTAATAAGAAAATGAAATTTTTTTAAAAACATAGCTGAAATTATTATCAATTTTGGCTGGAATTGATTTATTCTTTAAAATTAGGTAAATTGTATATAGGTATCTTTTATATATATATATATATGGTATATATAAAAATTATAAAAGAAATAAAATTATAAAGAAAATAAAATAAGTTTTACAATTTGCCTCTTGAATTAAATAAATAATCTGGGTTAAATTACTCTTCTAAAAATTTATATTTTACATGATTTTTTACTAGGATTCTGCAATTTGATTTGACATTTAACATTTGATTTGAATTTGATTCAAATTTGATAATTTCAAATCAGCTTAATTTAATTTTAAAATTTAAGTTTGATTAAAAATTCTTTAATTTAATTAGTCAATTTAACAAATATTTGATATTTAATTAGAATTTAATTTGAATTTAATTTGATTTAACAAATTCAATTAGTTTTATATTTGATTCAATTCAATTTTAAGGAATCCTATAATTTTTGCCAATTATTTTTTTTATAATAAAAATTATTATATAGATTTTATTTATTTGAATATTATAGAATATAATAACCAAGTTTTTTTTATATTTTTAATAATATTACTTATATTTTTGATTGTAATTATAATTTAAGGGTTTGTTTTTTATTTACTAACAATAAATTACATCATAAGCACTTTAGGCAAAATTACATAATACCAGGCAAAATTAAAACATGTGATATTTAACTAAAATGTAAAAAATAGATATTTACAACTGAAATAATTTTAAGTTTTAAATATATATAAAAATAAAAAGAAAAGGAATGTGATATAAATAACAAAAATGTGACACTTATGGTATTAATAGATTTTAATGACATAACTTTAGATCATTGGAATAAAGGCGTTTGGACTGTTTCTTTAAAAATTTGCCTGTATGATAGTTTTTAGCAATCTGGAATCTAAAGCAATATAAAAAAAATGAAAAATTTCAGGCGATCTTAATGGATATTTTCAAATCAATGACAACTGGTGTTCTATACTTTACTGATAATCCTGCCCAATCATTGCTTTTTTTTACTAGATGTAAAGCTTTCAAAATTATTCAAGATAAAGAACACTCAAAATTGATTACATACTATGATTTTTAAATGAACTTAGATAAAGTTACTAATACAGATTTTTAATTTAAGAATATAAAAATATATAAATGACATCCATCTTGAATTGATTTTGTATGGTGCTAAAAATTTATATTAGATAATAAAATTGTAATACTTCAAAAGTTTTCAAAATTTTATAAAAATATGATTTTAGAAAAAATAAACTGGTAACTTTATTCTTTATGATGAATATTATTAAATTACCAGTCAAATTTTCAAAAAAAATGTCTATATAAAAAGTTATAAGCATTTAAAGTTGGATGATTTTCATATTATTGGCTTAATATTAAAATAATTACATTACATAAACACAATTTTATTGGCTAAAATTTTTCATAATTTAAGCCAAAAATTAAGATAATTTAGTGCCGGTCTGAATTATCATCACGAGAAAAATGAGTGATCATGAGAAAATCTTTAAGTTTTCACATGTAAATAAGAAGTTTTTATTCAAATAACCAGTGATTGTTTATTAAAAATACCACGTAAAACAAAAAGACAACTACAGATTAGCAAGTTACCTAAATATTACATATTAAAAGACCAAACAGAAACTGAGTTAAAGGCTATTAAAGAAAAGATAGAAAGTAAAATTAATGGAAATTGGATAGAAGATATAGAAGACGAGACTATCACAGGTCGAAATACTAAAAATCGGCAAAAAAAATGGCGCGAAAAGCAGTGGCTATTCTTGGCTATTCTTGGCTATTCTTGGCTGTTTTTGGCTATTTACGAATTAACCTATACTATTTGTAAATAGTTTATACAAATTTGCGAATAGTTTATGCAATTTGCACCATTTTTTTTGCCTATTTTTGATCATTTGACGTGTGTATTAATGATTGGGCAGAAGAAGATTTAAAAGAGTTTCAAAAAGTAGAAAAGAAGTTTATTACCGAAGTTCTTTGTTGACATGAGAATAGAACAGCTTATACAGTCACCCCTCTCTACAGCGAACCTTGATATAGCAAATAACACAATATAATGGATTATCTGTGTGGTATTAATTTTAAATATAAAAAAAATCTTGATATAATAAAGTTTACTATTTATTTACTGTATAACGTAGTATGAAGTAAAGTATGTAAATTGTTATATACAAAATAAACCTTTTTATAATGAATTTTTTTTATAATGAATTTTTTTTTGGTAAAACGAAGATTTTATTTATTAAATTTCCTTTTAAAGCAAATTTGCACTACACATTTACCACATATTTTACTCATATTGTTTTTATACTGAAATATTAATAAAACACTCTCATCTTTAAAATCAGTGGCTAAAAAACCCATTCTTACAAAAAAATAAAAAAGAAAGAATGTTATTAAAATGTTCTTATACAAAATTACTACTAAATACAATACTTCTAAGTCCCACCCACCTTTGAAATCGCCTAGGAGTTATGGCCAAATAGTCCGTTCCTACAAAAATAAAAAAAAACATTAGAAAAATGTTCTTATATTAAATTACTAAACACAATACTCCCAAGTCCCACCCACCTTTGAAATCGCCTAGATGCCATAGCCAAATAGTCCGTTTTTACAAAAATAAAAAAAAGAACGTTAGCAAAACGTTCTTATATTAAATTACTAAATACAATAGTACTTCTAAGTTCCACCCACCTTTAAAATCGCCTAGGAGCCGTAGTCAAATAGTCCGTTCCTATAAAAATAAAAAAAAAAGAACGTTAACAAAACGTTCTTATCAGTCAGCGGTTATTTCAGATCATTTGCTGATCATTAATTAAAATAATTTTGTGTAACTATAATTGAATATTCCATCATGTAGCTAAAAAAAGAAATTCTTAATACAACACTTATACAAATTAAGTAAATTAATAGTTCGTCATGTGTATTATAAATTTTTATCATCATTTCCTCTTTAGTAATAATAATTTTTTTTTTTTGCATATACAAGAAAGTTCGTCTCAAAAATTAAGTTTTCCTCCAGATGCAACTTAAAAGTAGATGTAAAATACAGTTTAAACGATAAAAATATATGTAATTTTACGAGATGAAAAAGATTTACTAAGTTGAAAAAGGTAGTTATTTAGGTAGTTTTTGTGTAAACCGCAAAAAGTTAATTTTTATAATAAAAAAAATTTTTTTGATTTCAATAAAACTTTTAGCAAAAGCTTTTTTTAACCATTAATTATTTTATTTCTAGCCATAATTTGGCGAAACAAACAACTTTTATTAAGCTTAGAAGAGTGATTATTATACCAGATTTTTTGTTATTTATAAATTTTGTTAAAATTTTTTAATTAGAACGCTAATAAGAATTTTTTTTTTATTAGAATAATATTATTAGGTCTATTTGGGTGTCATAAATAATTTTAAATCGCAAAACTAGTCAAAATATAATGTTTTTTTATTTATCTATATTAGACCTTTAATGCTTAAATATTGGTATTGTAGTAATCATGTAAATTTTTGTAATTTATTAAAAAAAAACTTTAAAATTTTTAAATTTTAGTTCATTTAACAAGAAAATAAAGCAAAAATTATTTATTTATAGAAAAATTCAAATTGGATATTAGGTTTACTTACCTTGTTAAACCATAAATACAAATAGTATAATATAAATAAGAAAAATGTTTTTTTTATATCTAAAGTAACGTTAAAATAAAAGATATTTATAATATATTTAAAAAAAATAAGCAAAAGAAAAAAGTTAAAAAAGTTTTCTTAATACTTTATTAGATTGCTATATTAAAATAACCATATAATTGACAACCTTCACTGACCAGATGCAACTGAATAAAGTGAAGTTTTTGACTTTTAAAAGGTTTAAAAATATTTTTCAAACCTTGAACGAACATGTTTACTATTGTTGGAAAAAGTGTTACATTGCATAAATACGGTATTACCTTTGATCTGAAAATTCTGATTTTAACAAAATTTAGGCCGGCATTATGAATCTGGCCAGAATTAAGAAAATTTTGGCCAGAATTATAATTTAAAAATTAATGAATTTTAACTAATCAAACTAATTTAGCCGAATTTAAATATTAAATAAATATTATATACCTAAAGACTGTATCATATTAAGAATTTTTATTATAATATCATAGTACAAAAAATCTCACCACTAATTTTGCTGAAATGACCAGTGACTGTTATACTAAATTACTAAATACAATAGTACTTCCAAGTCCCACACAGGTCAAAAAGTGAAAAACAGGCATCAATCAGTCACCAATCGGACACCAATCAAATAGCTAATTGGTGACTGATTGGTAACTGATTGGCATTTTCGCCAAATACCATCACCAATCAGGCAGTTTGCTAACTTTTGATCCAGTGATCAGAAAAGGATTAAATATAGCTCATTGAAATCGTCTCAACAAGACGAATCTAATGGTAGTAAAATCGCATTTCTAGGATTAATACCTGTCTCTTATACACATCTAGATGTGTATAAGAGACAGTCGCATTTCTAGGATTAATACTTGATGAGAAATTAAGTAAAATATAAAAATAAAAATATATCATTTATATTTTATTTAATTTTTTATTAACTATTAATTCTGGGAATGCGATTTTACTACTATTAGATTCGTCTTGTTGAGACGATTCCAATGAGCTA